GGGTGGGGGATCGGGAGCCACGCAGCCTCATGGCAGCGCGGAGGGGCTGTGCTGCTTTGGGCGCTTCTTTTCGCCGCGCTGGCTGGTTCTGGTGAGGGAAAGGGGGCCGGGGGTACCCGTGAGGGTCGGCCCTGCCTCTCCCGGGGGGGGTGTGTGTGGGGATGGGGCCCCCGGAGGTTTCTGTGCCGGTCACGCTGCCCTGGAGCCGCTGCCTTGCCTGGTTCCTCGGCTTCCTGGGGAAAACCCCTTCAGCCTTGGAAAAGCTGGTCCCCACCGCGCCTTTCCTCATAAATCGTTGTGCTGCTTTTGCGTGATGACCCTTATCTGCACGTGATAATTGGTTATAACGGAGTTATTGGTCTTTGTTCCTTGTTAACAACGCCTGTTTCCTTAACAAGGGATTTCTCGAATGGTATTTTTACCTACAGAGCTGAAATGAGCTGTTGGGTTTTTTTTCTGGTGACTTTGATCATCCCAGTTATAGAGTTTGGAGCAAGCCGGCGCTTCTGTCTCTTCAGTTTACGGTTTGTGGGCTTGCAAAGGTGGCTTGGATGAGGCTGGCTAAATTGACGAGATAAGGCAATGCTAAGTGCTCCCACGTGGCTTGTAAAATTCTTTTATTGTGTGTACCCGTTCTGGTGACCTTAAAATACCTGCAAGGGTAATGGCCTCCTACTCTTTTTACACCGAATTACTCAGTTTTTCATGCTAAGCTACGTTTCCTGCTGTTTTTTTGTCCATGAACAGTATTCTTCTGGGCTGGTTCTGAAGTCAAAAGTTATGATACCTCTGTGTGTCTTTGATGAATCGCCTGTTTGGTGACAAATGTCCGCAATTCTTATGTGAAATCCTGTTGTTGCCAAAGCAGGGTACTGAGGTTCCTCTGGAGCTAGTGAGGAGCCAGATTTTTGTGCTTTCTGGTTATATTTTTTTCTCCTACTGAAGTTTCCATATACAAGAAGTTTTCCCTGTTGTTATATTTTTCTCCCAAAGCCCTAATTTTCTGCCTTTTACTTTTCTAGTGGTGGCGAATATATATGACAAACTTATTTGAAAAGCAGCAAGCTGAATAGGTAAACAGTAATTTTTAGGAAAATAATAACATGGCATAAGTAAAAAATCCTAGATACATTACAGTTTTTGTGAGAAGTCATTTCAGTGTAGATGATCACTTGCGGTGTTCTTTCTTTATCTGTTTAGATTGATTAAAAAGATGAGTGAAGATTCTGGTAGAAATCTGGATAAAAACCATGACAAGCTCAATAAAAGAAAGCAGTATCACCTCTCCTGACTCGACAATATCTTCTCTTCTAACAAGTTATAGCGTTGACAGCAATAATCCATACTCACACAGTTTGATTCACTACAAGGACAAGCTTTACAGCTCTGCATCTGAAGCTCTGGAGGCTTATATTGAAGATTTTGATCTAAGTCTGACATCTTCAGAAACAAGCACTGGAAAAATCTGCATATTTCAAAGCACTCCCAAACAAGTGAGGTTTTCAAAGCGCCTTGCCAGAGAAAAACATGGTATGTCTTCTGCAAATATGCCTTTTGGTAAGTTCTGGTGTTTGCTGTTTTTCGTGGTGGTCTTTTTTTTTTCATTGCCAATAGTATTGCATCTCCTTGTCTCGCACCAGTTGTGTTTGGTTGAAGGAATGTTCCTTGCACAACTGCTTTCAAGTCTTTATGGTATAGTAAATGATGCTTGGCTATGTCTAGCAGTATTTGTCATTATTTAATGCTTTTTTGTAGAAGCTTGGTGGATTGGTGAGAACTCGTGACCACGCTCATAAATGCAATAATAAATTCCAGAGTATGGAATAAACTTGTATTTTCTATATGTGAATATATGCTAGAGATAGTGTAAATCCTTGCTTAAACCCAAGTCTTGAAAAAAAATCTGTTTCCTTTCCAGAGTAAGTATCAGAAGCTAATTAATTGAAGGAGTTCCTTTAAACACTGCTTTGTCTTAGAACAAAATTTGCCTCTCATACATTTGATTTTTATGGAATGTACTTTTGGGTCTGAAGTCTAACCCAACTGATTAATGTATATGGGCTTGAATTGGTTTTTGTCACTATTAGTGAGCTTGAATACGTAAGCATTTAAGTGATAACTATGCTTGAGCTAATTTATATTGCAAATGGTTTGGCCATTACATTGAAAATAATTAAGTCCCAAGTACAGGCAAACTTTGTATCAGAAAAAGGATGCTTGCCTAGGTTGTGTTGGCATGGACAGTTATGGTAGTGTATCATATTATGAAGGGCTTTTTTTTTTCTTCACACCTTTCTTTTCTCTTATTGAGACGGGCATTTTTTAGCTGGGCTATATCGGGTTATGTTTTTCTAATACAAACAATCTTCTACTGATGTTTAACTGATTTCCAAAACAAAAATAAGAATTCTGATTATCACTAAAAGAAAATGTGTCATCTCATATTTTACTTTGAAATTTCTCCATTGCTGTTCTTTGCAGAAGGCTCATTAGCTCCGTTCACGTGTTAGCTATTCTGCATGTACGTTTTGTATGTTATAATAGTCTGCAGTATACAGATTTCGCTTACTGATATTACAGTGAAGGTGAGAAAAAATAACTTCCAGGTACTAGCTGAAGAAAACCTGTTTTTGTGAATCAAATTGCTTCATAGCTGCAGTAAAAAAAAGGGATTTAATGCTGTAATTCTTCCTGGAAAAACTGCCCAGTCAAATCTTATACAGCATAAGTTTCTGCAGAATCACAAAATGGGTCTAGAGGCCCATTATCTGGTTATCTGCCTTTCAGGCTATTGTTTTTAGACTTTTTTTTTTCCTAGTAAATGTGCTTGATGTCAATATGAGGGAGTCATCCCTAACATTACTGTGTGGAGGGAGTGTCGCTACTAGGACTGAAATGCTTGAAGACATACTTGCAAAATATAGAATTCTGAATGTGCAGCTAAGAATGGAATGTAGATTTCTTTCTTCAAGAAAAAAATAAAGAAAATACACAAAGCTGTAAATGCTTTGTGCTATGAAAGGAGGGGTAGCTTTTGACCTGTAAGGTTTTTAGCAAGCTTCTGATTAGAAATGGAACCACTCTTGTAAGAACTGTAATTTGGTACCCACTGGTAAATAACATATTTCAGCTTTAAATTACTACTTCATGCTGGATCTTCCGAATGTATCCTTTTGGTATGCTTGAAGTTTAGCAGCTCATGTAAAATATCTTTGTTTTTCAGCACTGGATGATTTTGATCAGCACGTAGGATTGGGTTCTCTTGCTTCACCCTCCAGAAGGCAGACGGAGTGTGACCTAGACTTGATGAGTCTCGCGACGGATGATCTGTTAGCATTTCCAGCAGATGGATCGCTGCCCGTTGTCCAGCATAGTCCTTTTAAATCAAGGTATCGAAGTACTGAGTGGAGCAGACAGCCACTTAAAACATCTTTCTGCCCTTACCAAACCTCATCGCTCACAACTGAAAACGGTTTCAGTCTCCAGGAGAATGGGAAAGCTGTTACTCACCAGCATCCAGACAAAGACTTCCGCAGAAAGAAACACACTGTGTCTACGCCTGATAAGTACGATTCTGTCTCCTCTAAAGGAAGTTTGAGACCCTTGTCTTTTGAAGAGAACTCTAACGCTTTCAAGAATTATCCAAGGTGGATTACCAGTCAGAAGTCTGACTTAAGTGTATCGGGGATAAGGAGTATTCCCAATTTTCACTACCCAGTCTGGCTCAAGAGTTACAACCTTTTTTCTGATCCAACTAAAGAAAGTGATGGTCAAAATTTTAATACACAAGGCAAAGCTTCCTCCTCACAGAATTCTGAGATCCTGAAAAAAGGACACTCTGTAGATAAAGACAGTTCTAATTTTTTTGAACAAAGTGGTTGCCTGGATCCGAGAGGTGAGAACAAAGTAAAAGGAACTTGCAACTATGGCGGTCCAAATACACGCTTCCCATTTGCTAACTTGTTTTCCAAACATGCAAAAAAGTGGTTCAGAGGTAACTAGATTTGATACAACTTGATTTTTTTCATTTTGAGGGTATGTGTATAAAGACATGTACCTTTTTAAACCAACACTCTGTAGCTATGCTAGTCTGACTGCACTGTCCAGTAGGCTTATTCATTTCCATCTTTGACAAATGACTCAAAGCACTTACTAGTAGTTGACCAAGTTAACCAGCTTTAATACTGTAAGTTTTCATATATAAATCAATATTTAAACATCCCTTTTACAACAAAGTCTTTATTAAGTTGGCATATTTAGTACCTTACTGCAAGATAATGACAGTAATTCCATAAATATTTTAATAGAATTTCAAGCATTAAATCACACAGTGTAACCTTTGGGGAGAGAGTTTCCTAAACATAGTGTAAACAAAACTGTCAAATTGGTAAAAAATACTATTTATTGTGCAGTCGTTTTCTCAACTTTACACAGTCAGCAGCAGATATTTATAACTAAATATATAAATAATAATATTTATATACTTAGGTTATGCAGTGCCTTTAGTTTATGTAAAGAGTTTCTGTGGCATCTGTCATGTAGCTACTCTTTGCAGCAGGCCATCACCCTGCAGAAGCAGAGAGGTCCTCCTGTGGTGAAGCACCATCTTTGTTTTATTAAATATCAGCAAGATTTACTTTGATATGAGATTAACATTTCAAAGGGTTAATTACCTTCACTTCTGTCTAAGTTTGCTTATTCAAAAAGAAAAATATTTTTTCTTTGTCATGCAAAGCATAAATAATGATCTGTCCCTTTTTCCAAGAGGTTATATGTAAAAACTAAGTGAAAATGTTGTTTATGTTGTGAATTCAAAGCAACAAAATGCTGGGTATACAAAGATCTGTGAATAGCTTTCTGATGTATACGCATGATGAACTTTAAATATAGGGTTATAGCTTTTTCTTCCCCCTAACAGAAAAGTTTACCAATAATGAACAGGCTAGGTATGAAAAAAGATATGTGAGACTGTGCCTGTCATTTTGAGTGTTTGTCTCAACCTGTTTTTAAATGTGAGTCCTGTATGTGATTGTATGTGTGATTTGTGTTTATATGTTGCATGATTTCTCTCCAGGTGTCTGTAAAAGCAGCTATTAGAAGAACCTGTACAAAATAATAGGAACACTAACTGAAGAACTTGCAGTATTAACAAGTAATATTGAATGTTGTATTGTGAATTAATATTGTGTTTTTCTATAGCATGAAAGCACATTAAAAATGTTAAATAATCTTGAATGCTGCATATGATACTTGTTTTACCTAAGTTAGGAAAAAGAAATGCTTGACTAATTTAAATACTCTCCTGGCTAGAACCTTGCAGGTCCCGTTTGGTACTGATGAGCCACATGCCATACTGCCATACCAAGCTAACCAAAGGAGTTGTATTGAGGCTATGCTCTCTGTAAAATATTTCCAGAGCTAATTCATCTGTAGTGATTATTACATAAAATTGAAAGTAATGTGGAAATAATGCCCTTGAAGACGGTTTCGCACATTGTGCCCTTGTGTTTCAGAAGCCCAGCTTGAGCTACTTATGTGGAAGGCTGACAGAGGTCTGGAGAGTTCACCTGAAGGTTTGTCAAATAATCTGGAAAATGATGGCAGTCCTTCCACAACAGATATACTCGGAGCAGAAAGATCGTGGGAGAATGCTCCAGGTGCTTTGTAAGTAAACATGTATGTGTTTTCACAAACAAATTAGTCCAAAATAATGTATTTAATTGCTTTTGTGTATAGGTTCTAGGTAATGGTGGTGTGGCATGTACATAAAGAAGGGATTTACTGTTAGTTTTCTTGCTGGTGCTAAATGTTTGATATTTCTAGGTCAGGGTGTTGGTGCACTGCTTTCCCTTTTTCATTGACTTGCAGAGAGTGCTATCACTATTACTTATTATTGCCTTTTAATAATATCTTAAATTTCATTGATATACAAATATATTTCAAGAGAAAAATTATGTAATGGAACTTAAATGGACAGATTTAATAGTTTATGAAAAACAATAGTAGGAAGTCCATTTAAAAAAAAAAAGTGGTGTGGCCTTGGGAAGTTTTGGAGCAGCCTTGGGAGTGAATTTTCAATTGTTCAGGAACTGAAAGTTTATTTCACAGCATCAAAGAATGCTAAAAATCAATACTAGAATTTCCTAGTTTCCTATATTTCTTAAGAAGCTAGATGTATGTGGGTCTGGATGTTGTCTGTCAGTTGCCCTTTACCCCAGAAGATTTGGAACTATTGGCTAATTCCACCAATATTTAACAGATGAGTAAGTCTCAAACTGCAGCATTCTGGCATGTGATAATAGGACTGGTACTATTCATGCTCCTCTAGACAGAGGCTAATAACCTGACCTCCTGCTAGCCACCAGAATACCCACGTAGGAGAACATCACTGGACATCAGGCTTCATTACTGTATGTTTCTAGGAGACTACTACCTTTGAATTAAAATACCTTAGAGACTTTAGAAGAATTAGAGGTCAGTAAGCAGAAGGTAGCTGTTTAGATGCTGAATATTAATGGAGGAGTGCCAGGTATAAGAAAAATACCCATGTATAATAAATTATAGCTAAGAAGTCCTTGTCTTGTGGAGGTTTTTTAGTTGATTTTTATGGCTGGGCAGGTTTTGATTATATTGACAAAACCTGAAAAAATAGTTACGTGTTTCTCTGGCATGCACCAAAGTGCTGACAGGACTCCTCAGTGCCCCCTTGGTGATGCAGTGATGCAAGATACCTGGTTTCATACAATGACTATATCCTGAAACAATTCTTTTAGTTTATAAACCTGTTGTTATTCTTCATTGCATGTTTAATGTTGGTTTAGCAAACCACCAGTGCCTGTGTGCTGTGAGGACATGGAGAATGCTCTACCGTTCCCCAAGGCAGATATCATACATAAATTCTTGGAAGACTGTTTAAGTGACAAAAATAAGGTCAGTAAAACTGAGTATTTATTTGAGAGTGCCCGAAATATGTAAGGCTGGTAAATATTAGAAGGGGGAATACCTGCAAATTGCTTTATCTTGTATAATATATAAAGTAGGAAGTCTAACTGCAGTAGTTTAGTCATGTTTGAGCACGATGAACTGATACAGTTATTAAATCACATAATCTAACCCTTGGTCACAATTATAATGAAGAAAGCATCTAACTATAAAATGCTTGGCTTAGTAATAGTTTGACTTTTACACTCCATGTTTTGTTTAAAAAATAATTTTCCTGTTTTGAGTAAAGGAAGAAATTTTTTTAGTACTGATGTATTAAATATGACTAATTTCCTAGTCTGGCTGATGTACTGTTGGGTATGAGTCAAGTTCAAGAGCTAAGCAAAGTAACATATTTCTTATTATTTAAGCTGTTGCACTGGAATTGGATCATGGATTGAGTTTAGTGTTTTGATTATTCATTATTTTATACCCATTCTTCCATATCAATTGCCTTCTTGGCAGTCTTAATATTGTTCAGTCTTTCATTTTGATTATCTGATTATCTTATTTTTCAGCAAGGGAGATGAGCACTGAGCCCAATATTCTAGTTGAAAGGCATACTATTAATTTATGTACTGGTATGCTTCCTTTACTTTCTGCCTTGTTGTCCTTGAATCTTAACTGCTCTCAGATTCTGTTTTCCCATCTTGTAGTAAACAGACCATTACTCTTGAAGTTTTTCCACTGTGGCGCATACTTGTGTTTCCCTAAGGAGTTAATTGACACAGAACCTAACGAGGGGCATGACTAATTCAAATTATTCTGTCTGAATGGTGCTTCACTGAATTTCATCCTGCGTGCTTCCCATTCTCTTGGTTCTGCTAGATCATCAGACATTTCTAGACGGAAGTATTTCTAGATTATCCACAATTTTTTGTCACCTTGACTTCATCTGCTTTGTTGATTACAGAATGAGCAGATATCATATAGATGCTAATTATGAGTCAATCTAGGTTTATCATTAAGGAAGCTTACTTGCTCTGTCAGTTCTGAAACGTTGACACATGTTCCAGCACTGCTGTCATAGCATTCCAAGGACTGACAGTCTGAATATTCTTGAATTATTTTACACAAACCAGAGCTGAGGCCCTTCTGTGTTGCTTCACGTCTTCCTCAATGTTTGTATTTACAGTGACTTCACTGACCATGCAGTGGCGTAAATGAAGATGAACCAGTGTAGCATCATACATGTACAACTCAGAAACAGACCTTTAAAGAACAGATAGAGGCAAACACTCGTAGAAATTAGCCTTTAAATTGTCTCTGGGAAATGTCAGAGGTTGTTTATGTTATTTTGTTTTGTTGTATGTGCACTGCAGTACACTGCAAGACCAACACATTCTTTGGCTTTTCCTTTAGGAAAATATGTTTTCTGGAGGTCATCATCACAGGCCCCTGGAGGCTTTGAAGCAAACGTTGTTTAAACTTCAAGCAATTCAGGGAAGTTTAAGCCAGAATGAAACTGCTGAGCACCAGCAAGAGCTTGAAAAAGTGAGTAGTCAGTTTCCTTGTGTTGCATCTTGTCAAAATCGATGTGCTGTGTACGTTTCTGAGAAAAATGGTTAGTCTTTTTATAGACTTGGTTCCAGTCATCTCAGAAAAGAGCACTGCCAGCAGATGCAGTCCAGTTTGCACTGGGAGCACACGCTGAGGCTGCGGTGCCCGAAATGCCGGGTGTCTTGTTGCTGCTGCAAGCGGGGGTCCTGTGCTGCCTGAGCTGCAGGCCCCCTGTTCGCAGGGACGCCGGGGTGGGCAGTAACTGGGTGACAGTGGCCTCGGGTGCTGCAGCGAGCAGGGCTGGCGAGCCAGGAGGTGGCGGCATTTCGGGCTCTTCTGCTCCCCTCTGCTGCTCTAGCTACAGCTGTGTTCTGGAAAACGTTGGCTGCTGGTAATATCCCCGGTAATTCTAGGCTTTCAGGGGCATGTACTGAATTTTTAAGAAGCGGGGCATTCTCATATGCTCTACCCATGCCTCCTTTGCCATCACTGAGTTGGCATTTTGTGGCACTTTTGTTTCACAGTATTTTCATAGACTTTATTATCTCTTTTTACCTTTTTCATCATGTTGCTTACATACAGTTCTTATACCCAATACTCAGTAGAGAATGAAATGCTCCATATATATCTGGATCGGGCAGACTGGGGGAATGGGCCGACAGGAACCTCACGAAATTCAACAGGGGCAAATGCAAGGCCTTGCACCTGGGGAGGAAGGAACCCTTGCAGCAATACTGGGGGCTGCCTGGCTGGGGAGCCCAGGGGGTCTTCGTAGGTCCAAGCTGAGCATGAGCCCTGGCAGCAAAGGAGGAACAGCAAGACCTGGGCTGTGTGGCCAGGAGCACAGTGAGTGGATCAAGAGAAATGATTGTCCCTCTGTATCCCCCAGCACTTCTTAGACCACATCTATAATATTGCATGCAGATTTAGGCCCCTCGCTTCAGCAGAGACATCAATAAGCTGGTGGAGGGGCACCTAGGTGGTTGGGGGCTATGGCACTTGCTTATGGGAGGGAGCTGAGAGAACTGAGCTTGTCTGGGCTGCAGAAGAGGAAGTTTTGGAAGACCTAACAGAAGCCTTGCTATGAGGAGGGTGTCGAGAAGATGGAGCCAGGGTCTTCAGTGATGCATGTGGAAGGATGAGAAACAGGCATAAAATGAAACAGGAGGTTCACGTTGGACATTGGGGGAGACTTTTCAATCCTGAAGACAGCCAAGCAGTGGAGCAAGTTGTTCAAGAGAGGTTGTGCAGCCTTCATTCTCAAACAAAATTTGTCTGGATAAAGCCCTGAGCAACCTGCTGTAACCTCGTAGCTGCCTCTACTTTGAGCAGGAGCCCACCTCCTGAGGTCCCTCCCAACCTGAATTACTTTATGATGCTATGAAGTTGTTAGTAATACTTTCCAATGCAATGTGCTATAAAAATTCCATATTTTATGTCATATTCAGATGCTTTTCCTTCTCTCAGTTAACATTTTTTTGCTTGTTTTTTTAAAGCTTTCTGAAAAAGCAGAGGCTGAACTAAAACTGAGTGACAGTGAGATAATCCCTCTTACTAATTCTATTCAGAAGTAAGTGACCATTGATCTTCTGACTTTTCACTGTTTTTGGAAAGTGCAGAACAGGAATGATAAATTAGCTGAGAGAGTGGTCATGTGATCTGAAAACTTTAAGTTGTTAGTGAATAAAATTAAAAACACGGCTGTTCATGGAGCAGAGAAATATCTGGTGATATTTCAGAGATGTACTCTGTAAATAAACATTTGTATTTCATCTAAATTCATAGTTTAATTATTGCTGCTCACAGATGGACTTTAATCAGACTTACAGAAATTTGTAATATGGGACAAAACATTTTCTACTTTTATTCACTGCAGTGGAGAAAATGCTAGAAAATATTTCATTAATGAAATCAGCAGAGTCCTACTGAACAGTTATAAGTGACTAAAGAAATAATAAGTTTGAGAAAAAGCAGAATCAAAAATGGTTTCATTATGTAGAACACTTGTTTCAACAAAACTCGGTGTTACAATATGGTTTTATATTGTAATATAAAATGAAAAGATTTTATTTGAAACAAATACAGCAGCTTTCAGTACTGATATGCTATTTTATGACAGTGTTTTGCAATGTTTAATATCCAGTGTTAAATACCCATTCTGTAATATTTTAATAGGAGCTGCCTGTTTGTGTGAGCACCTGTATTTGAGAATACATATTTAAAATTTCAGTTCCAAAAAGTACTTTCTCTTTTTTAAAAATAACTTAGTCTAATTTATAATCTCTAAAACAGACTAAGTGGAACAGTTAGATGTAGAGCTGTAAGCTGTACATAAACCATTCAAACTGTTAAGCTGTTTGTAAGAAGTCAACATCATTTTGTGTTAAATGCAAATAGTAATGTGTACACTGTTGTTAAAGTCTTCATTTTTCCTGATCTAGAGCCTTACACCATTTGTCACGTCTGAAAAGTCTTGTTGAAGATAACAGTAACGAACAAGAGCAGACCGATAATCACGAAGAAGATAGACAAGGAAAAAAGTGTCATCTGTGAAGCTGATATCCAAGAATGTTTTAATATTGTGTAATTCAAATAATTTGTCAACCTGACCACTGGTCAAAGTTTTTCTGAAAGCTGAACCAGTGCATGTTCTCAAAAATGTTGTATTCAGTATTTTTGTACATATTTGTTCTCTTCATTAATTACTTGAAAGCTTAATTGAGTATTAGTGCTTCCAGTAGGATCTAACAATATATGACCAGAGATACTACTTTTTAAAGAATATTTAATTAAAATAATGTGAACGTTTTCATGGAAGAATTTCTGTGTGTTTATAAAAACTTACAAAAAATTAAATTATTTGGCCAGTTCTAGTCATCACATTTGTTATTGTTGGAAACGGGGAGCTCAGTATCACATGTAAAGTTAAGCAGTAAGGTTTAGCAATAATATAATTACGTAATATTTTCAGTGCTGTTCTTTCTAACAGGATTTGAGTTGATGTAATTGTACATCCCTTGTTCCCTGACCGCAAACTTGCCAAATATATTATCTCAAAAAGTGTCTGAAGTCCTTTCCAAGTGTCCCCCTGTCACAGCCTAGTAAAGCCTGGCTCTTTGGGGAGAGAAGGCGCTCGTTTAGAGGCGTCACAGGATGTGTTACAGCTGAACTGATCCGATAGCTGGTTGTCACTGGGAAGACCTAATCTCCCTCCTGTTTTCCTAATGTTCTTAGCTTTAGAGCATATAAAATCCTTCAGTGGGCCTAAATAGGTAGAGAAGTAATAGAATATTTTTTTTTTTCTTCCAGCATAGTTAAACAGAATAAGCTTGTGAAAGCCACTGATAAGCACTGGCACTTATGCAGGGGAGAGAGGAGCAGGACTTACCCCATTTGGCAACAGCAAGTTGAGAGACAAAGAGAAAAGCTGTAAGTAGTCATTTGAGTTCTGAATTGAAATATATTGACCAAACATTTTGAAAGTAGCCTTTTGTACCTCTTCTGAGGCTTATATAGTGTAGCCTAGTGTTTTATGCTGTCAGTAAACAAAATACGTATGGCAACATGCCTTTCTAGTGATCTGTTTCCTGTTAATCTGGATATTTATAGGTACAGATGAGAAAGCAGGTACCTGAGCATGTTCTGATTCTGAGAAGTGAAACACAAACCAGAAGAAAAAAGTACAAGGAAGATTAGCTACATATTTCTCCCATCTTCCTGTTAAGAATTAGTAAGTAGAGACATAATAATAATAATAATAATAAATGACTTCATTTTATGACTGCCATGGCATTGTGAGAACATACATAGGTCATCAGTGATACGGAATTATGTATTTCAGACAGATTTTATTGGTCTTTCTCAAATGCTGAGATCTAGATCTGATATCAGAGTACAGAAAATGAAACCACTCCTCTAGAAAACTTTCTGGTAGAAGCTTTTATAAAGCATTGCACTGCTGAGACGTAAATGTTCAAACCCACTGACACTGTGGGTAGAACTGCTGTCTGCATTAAGACAGTATCTGTTTCCCAGAGGTCATTTTATCAAAGGAATTCAGAAGTGCAAGGAAAGATGAGGTTTCTTCCCTGACGTCGTACATGTCTGATTGTGGATCACAAAGAATTTGCTCCACTTCTGCACTGCTCTGGATGCTGTGTGTAGATAGTTACACATAGTGTGGGTATGCTGCATCGTTTGAGTTAGTACACCTCAGACTCTCAGCACAACTATTGTGGCACTGCCAAAGCTGTCGTAACTCTCCTGTTTCTGAAGGGGCTTGTGCATACAGAGCTCATGGTAGAAACGTAGATTTATTCATCCACGTGTATAGATACTCCTTGGGGTGCTGGCAGCACGAGCAAGGTGGACTCAAAGCAAGACTTGATGCCCTGAGAGTACTTGGAGGTTGTACCACGTTCCCCTTGTATCCTGCTTGCAGGGGTGCATAGGACAAATGTAAAGCACCCCCTAGTTCCTTAGAACTTCTCTTGATGGTAGGGCAGAGTTTGTTTGCTATTTGGAAAGTCTTTCATCAATTCCTACTTGGAGAATCCTCATATCTATCCGTATTTGTGAGTTTCCTCGTTCTTTGGAGGTTTTTTTATTAAAAAAAATAGAGATATTTCTGCTTTATCACTTCAATGTACTTTGGAGAATTTCAGCACAACTTTTTTTTGGTTTTTATGGCACACTGACCTAGGTGACAACTGAAAGTATTGTTGGTGTTGGATATTCATAGATACTAACTTTGTATTGACCAGGTATGAAAGGCTTTGATCATGGATAAGGCCCACTGTGTGAGGTATTGTACCACACAAGATAAAACTACCTGAAGTGTATGAAACTAAGCAAGAAATGAGCGATGCTTTCTAGTTGTAAACAATTGACATTCAAATAAGAATAGAGTAGAATAAAATAAAATAAAAAATACTGATAAAGCACTACACAGTAAGTGGAGACAACTGGTTTGACGTAAAAATATTTTTTTTTAAATGCTGTCAAGATTTTTATGGCCATTAAAGAGTATTTTAAAGAGTGATTTGATCCCTTATGTATCAATAGCAGAAAAGTAACTTTTGGTTGCATAGACTGGTCAGTTATAGCTGGAATTTAGTTTGCTTATAAGTTAGAACAAAGAGGTTGCCACTCAGGAAAAACAGCAGAATATGTAAATCAATTACTAAACAAAAGTAATTGCCATATCCAAGATGTCAGTGATGTTCTTGTCCTAGAGGCTAGATCAGGGAAAAGGAATTTTATTGAACTACAGTCTTCTGTAGTGACAGTGCAGGAAAAACAAAAAGGCAGGCACAGAGTCCAGGACTTGGAGGAAATACTGAAATAAAATAGCAGGACTAGATAGAAGGAAAGTCACCACTTCTCAGCACGTTACAAGAACTGTTTGCTGAGGATGTACACTAGTATTTGTGATCCTATGTATTTGCATATACAGGAAATCTTTTATGAGGAGGGCACTTCCTGAATTACACTGTATATATATCAGTAAAACAGAGCTGAGGGAAGTCAAGGCTTTGATGAAGACAAGTATTGTGCTCTGAGATCTTGTGAAGATCCTGTCTGTGGTAAGATAGTGCCTTGGCTTGGTGGGAGGAAAACTGAGGGGATTTTTGCCCCTCAAGGGCTTAATGAGAGGGTCCATTGTGATCCCAGTCTTGAACTGGAATGACTGTATGCTGCAGTTATCTTTTCTCCTGTAACAGTCCATTTGTGTTGCCCATCTCTCGGCATCATTATGTTCGTGGGGACACAAAAGGGTGCTGGTATAGGAAAACTTAATTTCAGACTCTGGGTGTCATAAAGATGAGCAGTGCTGCCAGCAGAGGGTTTGAAGTTGACTAAATGAGTTTATACCCATTTTAGCCTGAAAAGGAGGATCTGAAAAACTGCAAACCCCATAGTCAGTCATTATCAACCTATTAATGCTTTTGCTATGTAACTGTGACGCTGCCAGAGCAGATGGATCTGTTTTCTAAGAGATGCTTTTGGATTCTGACGTGTATCTGGAATTGTGAAACCCTTGAAAATTATTATGTCTATTTTCTTTCTTGTTGGTCGTGGATTTTCTGATTTACCATGAGTTTTAATTTTTGTGTCTTTACTCAAAATATTTGGTCAACTTTAGAGTTGGTAGGTCTCTCACTGTGCAGAGAGAATTGCTGTTCAAAGGGAAATGAGAAAAAACTTTTCATTAATTCTGATTGACCTGATCCTACTGTTGCCAGTTGGGATGGCTGAGCTTCCACAGCTCTTACAGAAGAAAAGTAAGGACTGCTGAGGAGAGATGGGCTCTATTTGATGAGCTTGGAGGTCTTTTCCAGCCTTAATGATTCAATGATTCTATCTCATAAGGAAAAATAAGTGCGTTTTTAATTTTAGGCTTACCAGCTTAAGAAGGAAGGTTTTAAACTAGAATTAATGGGGACTGATGACAAAATAATCTAAGTGTTATTAGTGGAAAGGTGACTAGAGGCATAGTAACCATGGATGTACGTTTTTTATAAAAAAGATTGAAGCAATATGGAAAACAGCATAGTGAATCTGTCTGCTTGACATCAAGATATCTGTTCTAGTGCAGGCTGTATGGAAACTAAATGGAAGAATGTACACAGTTCTATACAAAGTTGTGATTTAGGCAACAGAACTGTTTACTTGGGATATTTCATCTGTTTAATGAATTAAACAGAAAAAAAGCAGAGGTGGCTCCTGAAGAAAAGGAGAGGGAAGACATGTTTCTCCATGGATGTTTACCTTTGTATTGAAGTCTAGAATATAGAGGGAGAGAATCTGTTAAAAGTTTCTGTATGATAATAAAAGGAGAAAAAGCCTGAGCACTGTTACGTTGAGGACCTACCATGAAGACCACCAAACAAAGAGCATGGAAAGAACATTTTTGTAAACAACTAACAGAATAATTTGCCATGAGGAGGTATTAGTCAACCAAATATTTGTTGGGAAAAAACAAATTGAATGCAGTTTATACAGGATATTTTTAAACTAGGATCATGTCAGTGTTTGGTACGGAAGGTGAAGGTTAATACAAGAATTTACTTACAAAGTTTCAAGATTTTTAGAATGGGAAAGAGGAAGAACAGAAAAAAAGCAACTACATGAAATTCAAAGATCGCTTTGCAAAATTCTACAAATGTAGTCTAGGAAAGAAGTGCTCAGGAGTTTAGCAGTTCATAAAAATACATATATTTAAGATATAGTTGCAGGATATCCTAATATGGAACAGTGAAAATGAATGTAATTTGTCTTGTAGTCCTCAACGGTCTTCAAGAAGGAAGCTTAACGGAAATAGCTAGAATTGTCCCTAAAGATGAGTATTCTTGGACTTCTGTGCTTTTTGGGAAGTCCAAAGCACAAAAATGAGAAACAAGGAGGAAGAGCTGTCAAAGATAATAAAATAACTCGAAAGTTCCTTATTGCTTATGCTAGTAAATGTTAAGGCCGTTACTGATACAAGGGAGGACCAAGGAAAATTTTGGTCTGTGACTTCCCCGTAGAGAGTAGTAAATGATATCAGTGAAGATATAATGTTTACTTAAAAGATCAAAGGCAACGGGGGGTGGATAAACCTTGGATTACAACAGGGAAAACGTGATTGATAGCTGTTACGCAAGCTACCTGTGTTCAGTGGACTACGCCTGCCAGCATTAACACGAAGCTCTGGGAGAAATGGCTGAAGCTCTCTTTGAGTTAGCAGTAATGTTTAGAGCTCAGCACAGTCCCGTAATGATCTAGAAATGGGACTAGCAGAGTAACTTCTAACAAAGTCAGCTAAATGATACCAAAGTATTATATGGAATGAAGCTTAACCTCGGTTTCCTAGAAGTTCAGAAGTACATAATGAAACTTGGACTATATCAAGGAAATTGAGGATGGGAAAAAAGAGAGAGAGGTCATAAACACTGTGTACTGCACAAACCTCGTTTCCTTTTTATGACTGGCTAGCAACATTTAACATTTGTCTGCCTCAAAACAAGGAATCATAGTCTATATTAAATTAGTTTTAAGGAAGTGTAAAGGTGGATGGAAAACAGTACTTCGAGAGCAGTTAACAATGAAGTCTATTGCTGTTCTTTATTTTTATTAATGTGAGAGTGTTCGAGAAGATCCAGAGGAGAGTGACTGAAGGCTGGACTAGATGACCCACGGAGGTCCCTTCCAACCCCTACCATTCTGTGATTCTGTGAAATGATGGTGGAGATTCAAGAGCTGCCTAACAGGGAGAGACTAAAAAGGCTGGCACCTTCAGCTTGGAGAGGGGAACGTGGGTTTGGTGTTGCTCAAATCCTGCAAAACAGAAACACAGGAGGCCTTAAAGGAGCTAGCAGGAGATCTGCTTAGACCTGAGAGGTGCTCTTTGTTTTAACCTGCAAGCGGTAAATTTAGGAGGTCAGGGAGTATCAGCAGGTTCAGAAAGGACTTAGTCAAAGTCATGGAGCTCTTCATAGAGTGAACTCTAAAGGGAAGAGGCTATTCCCTCTAGCATCTCTCTTCCAACAGTTCTGTGTGCTTGTAAAGTATGAAAGGTGTAACCTGGAAAGAGTCGCCAGGCTATGCTCTTCCTTAGCGTTTCTGAAAGTCCTGTCGGAGAGGAGAATGCTGGGCTGGATGTGCTGTTGGCCTTGCCTAATAGGGCAATTCCTGCCTAGTTAGTTCTGTTGCAGGAGGGTAAAATGTAATGCTTCTGTTGCAGCAAGAGTGGTTCAGGCTTGTGGAAACCTTTTTATCGATAATAACATGTAAGCAGGGAAATGAGTTGCCAAAGCAATTCTGGAACCTCAACCGTTTTTGTGGTTATAAACGTAGATTACACAACCAGCCAAAACTACATTAGATCCTTAGCATAGGTAAAGGAACGAGATGACCTCTGCTTTTTCTTTTTTCCCCAGGTATTTGATGGTTCAGACTCTGTCTCATTGTCATGTTGTGTCTTAGGGTTCATGTGATGCGTGAATAATGTGAAGTCTGGATGTGGAAACTGGCAGACCTTTCTGTTGTAGTTTAGTGAAGAAGAGGAGGAGTTTTTTGTGTTGCACCACACTTCTGCACAGCGATACTGCACTAAAGGCCGTTAGTGTTGCTGTGCAGAAGATGAGTCACTTCCCTAGACTCTGTAACATAACTGAGCACATATTGGAATTAACATTCTTTTGTTTCAATGTTTTCCATGTCTTCTGTGGGCTAATCTATTTCAGCTTTACGAAATGGATAACCAGGCATTTGAAATGCATGGAGAGAGCATACAAAGTTCTTCAAAAGGAAAAGAGTGGCCGAAGAAAGAGGTACCAGTCATTTTTTTTTACAGTGCAATCAAAACATTATTAACAGAGTCAGTCTGTAGATTAAACCCCTTATTTTGTACGTATGGCCTAATGCTATACTATTAAGAAGGCCCTGAATAAAATAAAAGCTCTGAAGGGCTACAGTTGCTAAGGTCCTTGTGCACTAGCTAGATCCGAACTGAGACATCATTCCCTGGCCTCACTTAATAGCTAAATTCTTTATCCTCTAACTACTGGACAAAATAATTATCTTGGGAGGATTCCCCGTTGATTTTAACAGAAAGAGCTACTTAAAAGCTCATCTTGTGGTAATCTTTAGTATCTACTGAGTTACACAGTAGAGTACTGTTTCATCTTTTCTTTTTTTTTTCCCCTTGAGAAAAGTAATTCTCTATAATTTTCCCATTAAAGTTTTTGCTGCTTGGGATTTGAATTAACTTCATGCAATAGGAGTTGGCGTGTTGCTCATCGGCCGTTGCATTTGTTTGCAGTCAACACAGCGCTGCTTCCTGGCAATGAATATACCAAAGCCTAGTGATTTCCTCACAGCGTAACTCACTCCACGCCGTTGTGCTGGGGTTGAATGTTCTACATTAGTTATTATTATTATGCAACACATACAGCGTTCTTTCGACTTCAAAAATAATTGCTGAATTGGTGCCACTGCTGTGAAAATGCTGTAAATTAAAGGTCCTTCAAATCTGGAAAATGGGGATTTTGAATGCGTTTAACTTTAAAGCCTTGTTCTCTGATGAGACTCTGTGGTCTGAGCACTACTGTTGTGATATTTAATTGAATACAAGCTTTAAAAAATGAGCCATTGAAAAGCTGAAGAAAAGGTTGTTACCGAATAGAATAGGATGATATTTTGAGCGCTCTTCTGCTGGCAAGAGAAATGTATTTGTAAAGAGCTTTTGTCAAATAGACTTATGAAAACAGTCATTTTGTTAAAATCAGCAAGTAATCCTCGATTTTTTTTTTTTATATTTCGCATTGTCCAGCTTAAGAAATCAACGTTCATAGCTTCTTTTCAGGCACTCACCGTCTGAAAAATCAGGCTTTTAAAGGTCGATCAACCTGTGCACCCAGAATCACTGAAGAGTTTTAAAATTTGGGCCAGAGAATGCAGTCTCTATTCATCTGAAGCTGCAACTTCGGCAGCAAAAAAGGTCAAGGGACAGGAAACGCTGAAAAACCTCACCAAGGTGATGCTTCATGGTGCCAGAAGCGCCTTGGCTCTCTGCAAAGAACTTGTGTGCTTCTGTGTGCCCAGCTGCTTCTCCCCTGCAGCCTCCTCCAGAGGCCTGAATGTCCAGGAAGGAAATTTTCTGTAAAGAAATGATGCCCAGAGCAGTTAGTAGAGATGAAGTTTTCCCCATTCTGGCCTGTCTTCTCCTCTGCCAGGGAGGTGGGCCATGCGAGATGTGATGTAAAGCAGAGGCAGCATTTCTGCCCCAGAGGCAAAAGTTTGCCATGAGTTGATGCTACAGGTCTTCAGTGTTTTGTGATATAGATTCAAAACAGCAATGGAAAAAATCTTTAAGCGTTTGTAAGACTCCAGGATGATGAAGACGTGCTTCTACTTGATGAAATCATGAAAGGACAGCAACAATCCGATAGCATACTCTACTGGGCCTAGTACAGGGAAACCTTATAATTTGGCTATACCTGTGTTTCTGAAAGGCATACTGTTTTGTTGACAAAAGAAGTTAAATCTAATCAAGCTTTCTTTTTTGTTTTGGGGGGCTTTTTATTAATTTCAGGAGAGAAAAGGCAACTGGTCCCTAATGAAAGTCTTTCTAGTTTGCCTGTTGGCCTGTGTTATCACCACCGCAGTAGGAGTGCTGGTCCTGTCCTTGGTCTATGTACAGAACACGGCCTTTATGAGAGCGGTGGGTGTTGAAGACAACGGTGCATCTTCCCCGAAACCAGATGAAAAAAGTGTGGATGTCAAATTCCAGTTCCTGAATCATCTGGGAAACTCAAAGGTAAATTGTTCAACTTGTGCAATAATATTCTAGCATCATATATAAAAGTTTAATGAACAAATTTCCCCTAGATCTTTTCCAAGCATTAGGTGATCAGTCTAAACTTCTTATCCAGGCTTCTTTTATAATCCGTGGGGAGAAACACAATCTTCCTGACAGTGTTTCACTCCAGTTCATAACAGATGTTGGAGATGGTAGGGATCTCTCGAGTGCCTCTTGGAGAGGTAAATAATTGCTCCAACAAATTGGGCTTGCAAGACAAGGCAACCATTTTATGCATGATTCTGAAATTAGAGTATGACATGCCGAGAAACAAAAGTAGAAAGTTCAAATCTTAATGTAAGCGGAGTAGCACACTAACCTTTTCATTCTTAGGACTGGATTCAAGCAAATTCTTATACTGCAAGAAAAAATGAACTCCATAATCTTGTTTCAGTGAGCTAAAATGAATTAATTGACAATGTAATAAAGCACTAGGAATGATATAGGTTTCGTTTAGGTGTATTTTGATACTTACAGAAACGTATCCTTTGAGCAAACTCTAGAGACATTCTCCATCTTCTAAATATATCTTTATACAAAAAGTAATTCCTGATAAATTTTTGCTTTTCAGCAAAAGAGGGAAAAGGATAGATTAGATAGTAGGGCACTTGAAACTGGCAACAGCCATTCTGGCACTCTTTCATGTGAGACTTAACTACGGAATTCATTTTCAAATGAAAAATGTTTTTAAGAATTCAAACAAAAGTGTTTAAGAGGAGAGCAACCCTTTTTACATGTCCTTCCTCAGTGCAAGATGCTGCTGCCAAGTACAAAACATGTTCTGGAGGCAGTTCAAATACTGGGGAAAGGACAGATTCAGGTGCAAATATTTTGCAACTGTAGAAATTCAGGAAAATGCCCTACTTATGGTATGTTCTAAATGTTTTTAATCTAAAAGTTTAAGCGTATATGTGACTGATTTCTCAAATCAAAGTCCAGAATTTTGTTCTTGATATCACTGTTTCTCTCATTTGTAGAAAAAATATTATAACATCACGACATGAGGAAGTATATAAATGATTGTGACAAGTGACTAAAATACATACAGAGAGAATCCTCAATGAGCAAACGGATAGGTCCCTTCAGTATTGCCCAGACCAAGAATTTTCTAAAATATTTTTGGAATCTTTATGCACTGCTGTCCACAATTAATACAATTCTCCCCTCTCACTAACTTTACAGGTATATAACTACCCAGGTGGTGAAATTCAGTGGGCAAGATTCAGGAATGATGTAAACGAATATCAAACTGATGAAGAAATGGTATTTGGAAAAAGTATCAATAACCATCGCTCCAAAATGACTTTTGGAACCTTACGGATCAAGAGCAAAGGGCTTCGGGCTCCCCACTGGCATTTTAATGCCAATGAACATGGCTACCTGCTACAGGTATTGTCTGATTATTTCAGCTTTCGCAGCTGCTCTTGCAGTTTAAAGCATCATGTATATATAGAAGATGTATGTATGTGAAAAAAATTTCATAATCATTATGTAAAAGTGTTAACAGGTAATGAAAGCAGAATTACCATTGATTGATGTTTGTCATTAGTTTTCTTGCTTGAAATAACATTTTCAAATGGAGATGCTTGAAATATGCTGTTTAATGTTATTACTTGCAAGAGGACCACACACCTGCAGCTTCCAGTGAAGTGTAAAAACTGAGGTCAGAGGAGACTTTGGATACCTGAAAGTTACAGAATTTTATGTACTTATCCAAGTGCTTACAATGATTAAAGTAATTATATTATGGAGCCACCGTAGAATCACAGTGATTAAGGACTGTTAAGGTTCTGAAGAAAGCCTCTGGCTCCATCCACTGTGGTGATGCAGGGTAAGAATACCTAAAGCACATCTGAGAGTTGTGTTCAGTTTTTTAAAATCTTCAACAAGGGAGCTATTACAAAATCAAAAAATAGTTGTCTCCCACGTTTCATCACACGAACCATGAGAAAGTTTGTGCTGGTACACAAACCACACTTTATTTTATTGCAAGAAAAAAAAATCATCCTAATTTCTCCTTGTTTATCCCCATTGGCTGTGGAGACCCTTGGATCATCTTTCTTTCACACAACTTTTTGTACATGGAAGACTGTTTTGTTCCCCTAAAGTCTTCTCTTTCCTAGACCAAATACCCCTGCAATCAGTTTTCTTTGAAAAGGTTTGCCCTATCTCACGTGAGCATCAAATTTGTAAAAACAAAGAAAATACAAGAGATAAACAGAAACTTACCGTAAGGATTCCAGTTAGTATATTAATTTGAAAACAAAATTATCTTTATTTGGAAGCATAGGTACTTAGATACATCTCGAGCATTAGTTTATTTCTAAGAATAATTATTCATATTTTGATCAGCACAGAACTGAACAGCTCCAGCTGGATGGGGGATCATCCTTGGAGTAAGGCATTCCACAAACACCTGGTCTTCTCTCCAGCAGCTTCTGGTCAAAGATGACTCCTTTCTAGCTGTTCACAGCCTCTTTACTAAGAAATGGTTTAAGTACGAGCAGTGCAGATTTGTCATGTGTTCCTTAAACCTTCTAAAATTTTGTCACTTAAAATGCTATCCTGGATTTAAGTTCACAAAGGCTTGTTAGAGAGTGCATGAGGAACTGTTTTCTCCTTAACAGCCTTCATCTTATTTGAATTACTGATTTGCTGCGTATAGATTAAATGAGAAACCTTTGATGATGATAAGTTCTGATTATGTTGCAGGGTACTGCCTGGATTGGAGTAATTGGTGCAGATGACAGTGTGGTCACCACATACAACGTCACAGCTGGTCAAGTGATCTTCTTCCCTAGAAACACCGTGCATTGGATAAAGAACGTCGGATCAGAAGACTGTGTGTTCTTGCTGTTTTTTACGACACATGAAGAACTTCAGACCTTGGATGTAGATGACGCCTTTTTCTCTACCCCGGAGGATATAGCAGCCAGAGCATTAAAGGTCTGTATGGTAGGACAGACAGCCTCTGTCCAGTCTTCTACACACTAACGTGGCCGTGCAGGTGCTCTCTGTATTTCTTGGAGAGGATCCTCCCTACCTCAGCTGTCCTCTTTGCTCCCATGACCACGAAGGATGTACGCATGTCCTTTGTGTCACACTGTGCCATCCTGTGTGTTCCTTTATACACAAGGAGAAAGAAATGATGGTGTACTCACCAAGAAACTTTTTCTCCTCCACGTTTCGCTTTCATCCTCAATTCATGGAGGATCCCTCCGTATTTCCAAGGGTGGAAGGCAAAACACCATAATGAAGCCCAAAGCTAATTTCCCAATAGCCCCATGATGAATTCTGTGGTATGAGCAGAGCTCATAGGAAACTATAGATAAGTCCATCTCCTTGTTGAAATGGAGCTTATTTGAACTGACCAGTTGACAGTGTCCCGTGAGCAAGAATATGGCCACAGAGTTTCTGCTGAGCCTCAGGAATTTGCATGTTCAAACCACAGATTTGTGATAGACCTTCCCACCCTGCAACAGTTTGATGGGAGATGGATCATGTTTCCCTTCTGCTCCAAATCTCTCTGGTAACTGAGAAGGAAGAGCAGAGCAAAGGAGTAGAGTATTGGCAGGGCGAGGCAATCAAAGAGATGAGGTATGTCCACGAGGCAGAACTTGTCTACCACCGGGTACTGAGGTGGGATATTCAACGAAGCAAAATTGAATTCCTCCGTTTGCTGTGCGGCTCTGTCAACTTCGTGTGCATCGTGTGTCCCGCAGCCACAAGGTGGAGTCAACTTCATCAGGACATTCAAGAAACAAGAGGAAGATCAAGCAGTTAACCTCCCGCCCAACTTAGATGAGCTTGTACAAAATGCCACCTACGTGCAGTCTCCGGACAGCCTTGTATGGCAGTACTTCTACAATCTCAAAGGTAGACATCTAGGAATTTTGTGTCTAAGAGCTCGCTGTGTTTCCAGAGGGGGAGAAGAGACCTGTAATCAATTCACTGAAATGGGAGTTAAAAATTATATAGGGAAATAATAAGAATTTAAGGAGATAAAATGAAAAATATATTGGTAGTACATCGAATTACTGCCCTTTGAAGATGTCTAAGCTGATTCTTTATCTCAAAGTAGTTTACCCTTTTGATTTGAATCACAGAATCACAGAATAGTAGGGGTTGGAAGGGACCTCTGTGGGTCACCCAGTCCAACCCTCCTGCCGAAGCAGGGTCACCTACAGCAGGCTGCACAGGACCATGTCCAGGCAGGTCTTGAATATCTCCAGAGAAGGAGACTCCACAGCCTCCCTGGGCAGCCTGGGCCAGGGCTCCGTCACCCTCAGAGGGAAGAAGTTCTTCCTCATCTTCAGCTGGAGCTTCCTCTGCTTCAGTTTGTGCCCATTGCCCCTTGTCCTGTCACTGGGCACCACTGAAAAGAGCTTGGCCCCATCCTCCTGACACCCACCCTGCAGATATTTCTAAGCATTTCTAAGGTCCCCTCTCAGCCTTCTCTTCTCCAGGCTGAACAAGCCCAGTTCCCTCAACCTCTCCTCGTAGGGGAGATATTCCAGTCCCCTCATCATCCTCGTAGCCCTAAATGTTTCTATCTGCCACAGTAGATAAGAGAGCAGGATGCCAGTAAGCAGCAGGGCATGAACTGAATACCTTCCAGCTCAAGGTTCTCTGCTGATGTGCTGAACTAGGACTGGTGTGTTCCCTGCTACAGCAAAGTTAAGCAATAATCTAAACCCAAACTTTTCATTCAGAAATTAAAATCTTATAGGCCAGGAAGCCCTGCAGCAGATTAGCTGGAGAGTGACTGGTGCTGAGCTGCTTAGAATATCTCGTGTTTGCTTATGAAATGCCAATGAATAAGCACCTTAACATATACCTAATTATGTGCTGCCTTTTCTTCTACAAATACAACTTCATAAACCGCCTGGAACCATATTCACTGTTTGGTTTATCAATGATTGTATTAACCCTTTGTACAGCCTGGATCTAGTGCTTGTCAGTGAGCAGCTAATTAAGCAAAACTTAATTCCAAGTAGTACAGTCCGTTCAAAAAGCTATAAAAAGCAAATATGGGCCCTGACCTCCACACACAGCTGATGGAGGTCATGAGAAACAGATGTGTGACCGAAATCTTTGCTCTTGGACCAAAATGTTCTTCTGCATTGGCAGCACTTTACAAAATATTGTCAGTGCTGTAAAGGTTAATGTGGATTGAGAGACTGAAAGCATGTTCTTTAAGTGTATTGTTATTGATAGCAATTTGGGATGGAAAAAATTAGCCAGAGTTTTTCATTATGATTATCTGACTACAGAAAAATACAGTAAAGGAGGTTGCACAGTGTCTAGTGTATGAAGGACAGATAAGCTAAATTGGGCTTTCTTTTTGATTCCGGAGGCTGGTAAGATTGGAGGCCTCACGTTTAGTACGTAGTAGTGACTTGGGGGTGGCCAGGACACAAACAGGCAGTGTTAACCCAGGCTTGGTGGCAATGCTCATTAGCTGTCTCTGCTTCAGGGTCGGCCGAATATCCTTTTCCCGGAGGAATCTTCCAGTGGGCTCGCTACCGCATAAATGGCACTGGACTAAATGAAACAGAAAAAATTTTTAGTGAGTCACTGAACAAGGTATGTGCTTTGCTGGGTGCTCTAGCTGTTTGAACATAAGGTGCAGCACGCAATTCGTGTGGGTTCATCACTGCTTTGTCATGTGTAACAGGCATAAATCAAACTTGCATGGTTTTCAGAACATTTTTGTTCTGCTTTTCAGCATGAAAATACGCTTACCTTAGCAACCCTCCGGATATTCAGCAATGGACTGGGGCAGCCGCATTTCCACTTCAACGCTAACGAGATGGGTTATGTCATTAGTGGCTGTGGACAGGTAATTTGGTACATGGGGGAGGGCTAAATCAGTGGAGTTCTGGCTCTGAAACTGTTACAGAATCACTGAATCACAGCATGGTTGGGGTTGGCAGGGACCTCTGTGGGTCACCCAGCCCAACCCCCTGCCCAAGCAGGGTCACCCAGAGCAGGCTGCACAGCACCGCGTCCAGGCGGGGCTGGAATATCTCCAGAGAAGGAGACTCCACAGCCTCCCTGGGCAGCCTGGGCCAGGGCTCCATCACCCTAAGAGGGAAGAAGTTCTTCCTCATGTTCAGCTGGAGCTTCCTCTGCTTCAGTTTGTGCCCGTTGCCCCTTGTCCTGTCACTGGGCACCACTGGAAAGAGCTTGGCCCCATCCTCCTGACACCCACCCTGCAGATATTTAGAGGCATTTCTAAGGTCCCCTCTCAACCTTCTCTTCTCCAGGCTGAACAAGTGCAGCTCCCTCAGCCTCTCCTCGTAGGAGAGATGCTCCAGTCCCCTCCTCATCCTCGTAGCCCTCCGCTGGACTCTCTCCAGTAGCTCCTCATCTTTCTTGAACTGGGGAGCCCAGAACTGGACACAGGACTCCAGATGGGGCTTCACTAGGGCAGAGTAGAGGGGAAGGACCTACCTAATAACTGATTCCCAGCCCTGATTAATATTACTACGATCAGTAGCATTACGGAACGTTCCGTGTCCACACTTCCCTTCTCCGTAGGAAATGTTGATCTCGGTTATGTTTGTGGAAGCTTCTCTAGTCAAGGAGTTATGCAAAGAGCAGAACTTGTCCATCTTAAGTCATTCAGCAAAACCACACGTGCTTATTACAGCAACCCCTACTCTCCTGAAAGCTGGGGGTACCAAATAAAGTAATAATAAAGTAATACTTTTGATTTAGCGCCTCTGAGGAACAGATAAATGAGAAAATTTAGTGAGTATTAAGATTTAGAGTACAGAAATTGTGTGTTGCACTCCGTGCAAATTTGAAGCACAGGAAGTTCCGTCTGAACACGAGGAAGAACTTCTTCCCTCTGAGGGTGACGGAGCCCTGGCCCAGGCTGCCCAGGGAGGCTGTCGAGTCTCCTTCTCTGGAGATATTCAAGACCCGCCTGGACGCGGTGCTGTGCAGCCTGCTCTGGGTGACCCTGCTTCGGCAGGGGGGGACTAGATGACCCACAGAGGTCCCTTCCAACCCCTACTATTCTGTGATATTCTGTGATATTCTGAAGTGGGGAGATAATTGAGACGGAATGATGAGGCTCTGTAGTAAGGCCTTACCACGTTCTTACTCCGGAATTTGCCTCGGAGCCCTCTGCCTTTCTGGAGCCTCAGAGAGCCTGACACTACGCTAGCTGAGTGAGCGCGGTGCCGGGACGGGCACTCTGTATTTATCCAGTAACAGCGCGCCGGAAACTGTCGTGGCTGCATATTGCTGCTTTGCTTGCAATAGGTCGGGGTCATTCTCTCTGGAGTCACTGCCAACTTCAACATCGGCATTGGAGACGTCATATTTTTCCCTGTCGGAACCCAACATTACATCAAGAGCGTGTGTGACGAGGATTTGTTGTTGATTCTGGCCTACAGTACAGGAGACCAGGTGAGAATTCATACGGGCAAAGGGAGTAAAACAATGTTCAACTGCACGTAATCTCATTCTTGTCTTATCACAGAATGGTCGGGGTTGGCAGGGACCTCTGTGGGTCACCCAGCCCAACCCCCTGCCCAAGCAGGGTCACCCAGAGCAGGCTGCACAGCACCGCGGCCAGGGGGGGCTGGAATATCTCC